TTTGTGCGGACAAGAAGATGTTCACTGCCTACAATGAGGCTGCAAATGGTGAACAACTTTTCATGGGAAATTCTTCTACTTCTGCTGTGGCTGGACAAGGGAAAGTAATCTTGAAGATGACATCAGGGAAAGAACTGACTCTCAACAACGTACTGCATGTACCTGACATCCGAAAGAATTTAGTTTCTGGTTCTTTGTTAAGTAAAAATGGTTTTAGGCTTGTATTTGAGTTTGATAAATTTGTATTAACAAAGAGTGGTATGTATGTTGGTAAGGGATACATGAGTGATGGTCTCTTCAAGTTGAATGTAATGACGGTTGTACCAAAACTTACTATTAATAAGAATAATACATCTTTTGCTTATATTCTTGAGTCAAAGTTATGGCATGGTAGATTAGGGTATGTGAATTTTGATACTTTGCGTAAATTAATTGGTTTGGATTATATACCAAAATTTGAAATTGATCTTAATCACAAATGTGAAATTTGTGTAGAAGCGAAACTAATTAAGGCTCCATTTAAATCGGTTGGAAGAAAAACCAAACCTTTAGAATTAATTCATACTGATGTATGTGATATTAAGGTTGTTCAAACTAGAGGAGGTAAAAAGTATTTCATAACATTTATTGATAATTGCATAAGATATTGTTATGTATACTTACTTAGAAGTAAAGATAAAGCCTTTGACATGTTTAAACTCTACAAAACTGAAGTTGAAAATCAACTTGGTAAAACCATTAAAATAGTTAGAAGTGATAGGGGTGGTGAATATGATGCACCTTTAAATGAATTTTGTGCACAAAATAGCATTTTTCACCAAACTACAACACCCTATTCTCCACAGCAAAATGGAATTGCTGAAAGAAAGAATAGAACCCTTAAAGAAATGATGAATCTCATGTTATTAAGTTCAGGCTTACCACAGAACTTGTGGGGGGAAGCAATTTTGTCTGCTAATTATGTTCTTAACAGAATACCTCACAAGAAAACTAACAGCATTCCTTATGAATTGTGGAAAGATCGACCACCTTCTTACAAATACTTAAAAGTGTGGGGGTGTTTAGCAAAGGTAGAAGTTCCTGTTCCGAAAAAGATTAAGATAGAACAAAAAACAGTGGATTGTGTGTTTATTGGCTATGTTCAGAATAGTAATGCATATCGGTTTCTGACTTGTAAATCAGAAATACCTGATATAAATATGAACATTATTATAGAGTCAATGAATGCTATGTTTTTTGAACATGTTTTTCCTTACAAGAAATGACATGAATTAAGTTCATAGAAAAGAACTTATGATTGTACACAAAGTCAAGAGACTAATGACAATCAAACACAAGAGATTAGTAATGGTCTCGACCAACAGGATTTAACTGATGTTGAACCAAGACGAAGTAAGAGAGTAAGAACATTAAAATCCTTTAGTCCAAATTTTCTGACATACCTGTTAGAAAATGAACCTTAAAACTTTAAGGAAGCAACGATAGGTCCTGAAGTACCTTTGTAGAAAGAGGCTGCTAATAATGAAATTGAATCTATTATGCAAAATCATACTTGACAATTGGTGGATCTTTCACCTGGTTCTAAACCTCTTGGATATAAATGGATATTCAAGAGAAAAATGAAAGCAGATAGTTCAATAGACAAGTATAAAGCAAGACTTGTGGTAAAAGGTTATAGACAAAAGGAAGGTCTGGATTATTTTGACACATATTCTCCTGTGACAAGAATAACATCCATATGCATGCTGATTGTTATAGTAGCATTGTATAATTTAGAAATACATCAAATGGATATTAAGACTGTTTTCTTAAACGGTGATTTAAATGAAGAGATCTATATAGAGCAACCTGAAGGGGTTGTAGTGCCAGGGCAAGAAAAGAAAGTTTGTCGGCTTGTAAAATCTCTTTATAGATTAAAACAAGCTCCTAAGCAATGACATGAAAAATTTGATCATGCTATGCTTACTAATGGGTTTAAGATAAACGAATATAACAAGTGCGTCTATGTTAAAAACACTGACAAAGGGTATGTCATCGTTTGTCTTTATGTGGATGACATGCTTATCATTGGAAGCAGTCAAAACATAATCAAATCAACTAAGCAAATGCTGAACAAAAGATTTGATAGGAAAGATATAGGAGTTGCAGATGTTATATTAAGCATGAAAATTACTAAAACATCTGATGGGTATGCATTATCTTAATCTCATTATATTAAGAAAATTCTTGAAAAATTTATCAAGGATGATATAAATATAGCTAGAACTCCTGTAGATATCAGTTTTTATTTATCAAAAAATAAAGGTGATGCGGTGTCTCAGTTAAAATACTCCCAAATCGTTGGAAGCCTAATGTACTTAATGAATTATATTCGTCCTTATATAGTTTATGTTGTCAGTAAATTGAGTAGGTACACTAGTAACCCCGGAGAAGACCATTGGAAAGTGATCATTCGGGTTCTTAGATATATAAGATTTACTCGTGATCATGGTTTGAACTTTACTCGATATTCAGCAGTACTCGAAGGCTATTGTGATGCAAATTGGATATCGGATACTAAAGATTCAAAATCTACTAGTGGATATGTCTTTACTCTAGGAGACGCTGCTATTTCTTGGAAATTCACAAAACAAACATGCATCGCACGATCCACAATGAAATCTG